TGTTTCTCAAAATTCTGAGTACCTGCAGGATTATAATCTTGAACCAAAGACTCTGACTTATCATAGTCAGGTATTTTGTCATCAAATTTAACATGCATAGACTCTTCAACCATTCTGGTTTTAGAGTTGTACACTTTGTATGCTTTAGAGCGTTCGGAGTATTCCAAAAAGATACCCTTTTAAGATTTAGCATCAAATTTCTTTAGGTAGACCTTATTATTCAAAATGTAACAAGTACATCTAAATTGATGAAAATAAGATATACTTGGTATTCTACCTTTAAACAATTCATACGATGTTTTATTCTGATATAGATTCTGTTTTGAATATAACAAGCAGTGTTAACAGCTTCTGCCCACAAGTACTTTGGAAGTTTGTTCTCATGTATCATGGTTCTTGCCATTTCTTGTAAAGATTTGTTCTTTCTCTCTACAACCCTGTTTTGTTGTGGAGTTCTAAGAGAAGAGAATTCATTGATAATTCTATATCTTTCATAAAAAGATTTGAATGGCTCATTCTCAAATTTTCCACCATGATCGCTTCTCACTTTTAATATTTTCACTTCCATTTCAGATTGTACTTGAATGCAAAATATGCTAAACACTTTGTATGTTTCATCTTTAGATCGAAGAAATTTTACCCAAGTCCATCTGCTGAATTCATCAACAATGACCAAACCATATTTCTTCCCACTGACTGAAGTAATTCTAAGGGTCTAAAGGTAGAGAAATTTTTTTTTTTTTAAAAGAGGTTTTTCACAATCTTTCAAACTTGGCATGTGTAGCACCCTAAAATTTTCCCTCTTATTTCTAACCTTAACTGGTTTATGCTTCATTTATTTGCATCTTCATTTGTGAATAGCACTGGTTCTAACATGGAATCAAGGTATCTTTGGTGGTCTTCAAGAGGAGGAAATAGTTCTCAAAGCAATAAGAAAGGAGATGGTATCAACATCATGGAATTTTTAATCTACAAGGTTATCACACTCTTCAAAGTATCTCAACTAGTTCACCCAATCATCTGAAGATTAGGGTTTCATTTATTTCGAAGGCATTCATCTGATCAAGCTCCTAGTGGCTCTGAGCTAGGTTTTTGGTCAAAGGCTACTTTTGTTTTTTTTCTTGAGCAAGACAAGGTTTCGTGGGTTAATTTACATCTCGGGTTCTATATAAGCCTCATGGTTCATCACAAATCATTTCAAGGGTTTCTAAAGTGGATAAAGGAGGAATCGAATTCATCTGGTCAAAAAGTCAATTGATGCCCAACCAAGGTCAACTCTAGAGTTCTTGGGTCCTATTTAGGCATTTCAAGTCATCATCTATATTATTATGAGGTTTTATCAAGAATAATCAAGAGAAATCAAGAAAATCACAGAAGTCACAAAATTAAGGTTTTTGGAATTTTTCCAAGTGTTGAAATTCAGCTTGGAGGGCATGTTTCAAGGGAAATTTTCTTGGTTATCTAAGCTTCAATTAAAATTTACTCCAAAATGAAAGTTGTTCCTTATTCTTCAAGATTTCTTTTGATACAAATAACACACCATTTGGATTTCTAGAACTCAAGTTGTGATGTTTCAAAGACGAGAAAATGAAGTACGTGTCGATGTAACGGGTTACATCAACCATGTAACCCGTTACATCACTGTTACTCAGCAAAAATGTCATGTTTGGGCTGATGTAACCGGTTACATCACTGTTTTGATAGAAAATCAGCATTTTCAGCAACTTCTCCCTCGTTTTGTTGATCACTTGGTTTCACATGTGTAAGGATGATATAGAGTGCTTTAAATTTTGATTAACTTCAATTTCCCTCCAAAATTCAAATTAATTTCGTTCCTAATTCCAAACCAAAAATTATATCCCACACTCCAAAACTCATTTAACTTCAAACCTAAACCATACTTAAACCAATTTGCTCCAAACCTCTCGTAACTTCACTCATTTTTCTGATTTCTCTACACATCTCACTCTCAACTTTCTCTCATTTTCACTCTCAATCTAAAACCTTCACAAAAGCTCCATAACCAAGATGCAGAATTTTTGAATCCTTGAGTTAAGCTTCCATCACATCATCATCATCACTCAATTCTGCATTTGAAGTTCATTTGGATCTTGATCAAGCTTTTGGAATCACTTGAGGAATTTTTGCTTATTTTTGGCTTATTTGCTTAGATCTTCAACTTTTCTTGCTAAAGCTTGCTAGATCTCCGATTTTCTTGCTTGGATCCATCAATTTCAGTTTAACAACACTCACCAAAGTAAATCTCAGTTTTGTAGGTTGATAATTTTCAGATCTAGCTTTGATTTGGCTTATTTTGCATGATCACAATGTAGATCCATTGTCTTTTGGCGATAATTGGTCCATTGATTGTTTTGTTTATTGATCTTGATGTTTGTTGGATTCAATTGGGGTTTGATCACTGAGATATGATGTATTTTTCGTGATCAATTGCATGCCCTAACAAGGGGAATTTAAATGGTTAAGTTGTTGAAAAGTGTTTTTGCTGAAAAATATGTTTTGATGTTTTTTGCTGATGTAACAGGTTACATCAACCATGTAACCGGTTACATCACCTTGCCTGTGTCATTTTGTGTTTTTTTTTGTTGATGTAATCGGTTACATCAACCATGTAATCGGTTACATCACTGCTATTTTGCAAAAAAAACTTGTTTTAAGGGGCTGTTTTGGCATGCTTTTACCCTCTAAGTTTCATGACTTTGTATGATGCATATTTATGGAATTTTCTTGAGATATTTCACTATACTTTGCAGTATGTATGTGATTCTTCGACACGCGACGCATTGACTTTTATGATGCATGTTCATGACTAATCGTGTTGCATTTTTGATGCATTCTTCATGATGTTTGGATGTGTTTACTTGTTTGCTCATTCTTCATACTCACTTTGTAGGATATATGACTCACGTTCATGTTTGCTTTCGATTCCGTGAACGCATATTTTTATTCAAGTGATTAAATGTTGATGAATATCCATGTTGTTCTTGGTGAATATTAATTGTGCAAAGTTGTTGATTCTTGCTCATCACGTCTAAATGATAACATGTCGATACTTCTTTGTTGTTGTTGCATGTTCATCAATTACTCCTTACTTGACATTTGTTCATGTTTGATTTATACAACTCATATGTATTTGTTTAAATGCCAAAGCACGCTTTTGTTCATTTCCTTTGATACATGATATGCTTGAATGTTGAACATGTTTATTGTGAATTGATTAATCTTTTATGCATGCTCAACTTGAGATTGTGTTGTTACATGATTATCCATGCTTGATGTATGTTCATGAGCATTTGTTTTGATGCATTGTATGTTGCCTTGGTGTATAAAATGTTGTTGTGTTTATTGCATGTTGTTAAATGTTTCCTTGTTTGCCTTGCTACTTTTTACACTTGTCCTGCTCTGAAAATGGTAGCTGTTAAATGTTGTTTATGTTCATTTGCTGAATTTTACCACTGTGTTGTGCTGGAGCATTATAGTAGCTGCTATTTTTGTTTTGTTTTCTCCGTTTTGGTTTGTTCTTTTGCATGTTCCCTTTAGGTCTCATAGTCCAACTTAATTTTTTGTTAAGTTTGGAGTAGGATAGACATTAGGAGTTAATCCTTTGTATGCCAACATTAGGTTAGTCCCTTTTTAACCTCAACCTTATGTCCATCTTTTGCATGTTAACATTAAAGTAGGTTTCTCCCTTTCGCATCCTGACCTTAGGGTCATTTTGCATGACAACGTTAGGTCCGAATTTTTCCTTAGACCTTTTGTGTGTCTTTCTCTTATTCTCTCTCAAAACAACATCAAAACACTCAATAAATGTGATGAATATTGTGCGTCACGAGTCTTAAATATATGAGAAATGATGAGTGAGGGGTCTCTCATTGCTTCGTCTAGAGTGTTTAGCATGCGTCTCGTTTGAGGGCGATCATGCGATGCATTCACTCCTATGTGATAGACTTTAGTACAATATGAATCTCAAACTAATTCAATTCACTTCTCTAAAACTCACAAACAAATACAAATCATTTTCATCCTTCAGAATCGTGTGTCAAATCATTTTTAAAAAGAGTACGTTATTTTTCCGTTCTACCGCAAACAGACATTGACTCTAACGACTGGAATGAAAACTTATCGTTGCTCATAAAAAATACTAAGTAATCCCTAGTGAACTAAACTACAACTGTTATGATTTTTAATACCAGATAGGATACGTAGACACATGTTTTGTTAATGTTGAAGCTTATGTTTTAGACACATGTTTTGTTAATGTTGAAGCTTATGTTTCTTTCAAAAGCTTCATTGAACTACAAGTCAAGAGCTTCATAATAGAAAGAAAGAATCAAACAAGAATATAAAAGTAACCTAACATTTGCATTGCATAGTTGTATGTGACAATATTAAATAGAAGTTACTACATCTGATGGGATCCTCATCTTAGAGATAAGACAACGAAGAGAAAATGGAATATTTTTCATCTGAAGAAAGCAATGGATGCCTCTCCCACCTAATAGCTGTACTAGGAGAACTGATTGAGGTTTCAGAGCCTTTTTTGAGAAATGAAACTACAATACTATCATTTTGCACTTTGACAGTACCAGAATCTGAAAATGAGAGTTTCACATCACTCATCTTAAGAGGCAATAAATATGATTCTGACAACAAATCTGAAACCATCAATCAGCAGTGTAAAAACTTCAAAGGAAAAAATATATAGTGGTGCACATTTATATTTCCTTTTATGACTGGGAGAATCTCCTTCGTTAAGTAGAATACATGTCAACAAACTATACATAAATATTGTCTGTATTCTTAAGCTATTCACAATCCAATGATAATCCAAACCAACGCAACAGAAATAGACACCCCAGAAAACAAAATTTACGAAGGCTTTTTTAAGATGAAGAGCTAGATGTGGCTGAATCTCATTTATTCAATAGATATAGTGATCGGAAAGAATATTATATTTATCCTACAGGATGTTTGAAAGTACACTATTGCGGCTTATAATAGCCGCCTTGGTGAGGTGGAGGATATGGAGATGGAATGGTATAAGGAGGCCGAGGACCAGAACCAGGCTGTTGTGGTTGTTGTTGTTGTGGGTGTGTGTGCGCATTGTAGTATTGACCACGCCATCCGGGATATGCAGGTTGGCCATAATCATGGTTTGGTGGTGGCTGCTGATGAACCTGAGGAGGTGGGTATGGTGAGGCTGATGATGGTGGAATTTGGTATGGAGGAGGAGACTGATGATGTGATGAGGCATAAGGAGGAGGGGGGTGACCATAGGAAGGAACTGGTGGCTGCTCAGATTGCTGATAATACGGTGTTTGGTGACGAGGATCTGTTTGTGTATTTGGTCTTTGATTTTGGTTTCCCACTGGAGGGTAGTTGTTAAATCCACCTGAGTTTTTATCCTGGAAACTCAGACCAGCTACTTGTCGCTGAACATCTTCAATCATTTCCCTGCACTGGATGTTCCTCGTCATTACAAAGTCATTGCTCTGCTGCTTAACATTTGTGATTGCATCCTAATTGAACAAAGAAATTGCAAATTATTACATTAAAAATATTCTTTAAACAGTATCATCCAAATGCATTAAATGGGTAAGTTGAAGTTCTTCGGTTCTTACCTGCAGGGTAACATAGAATTTTAACCCTTCATTGATGTTGTCCTTTATTTCTCGAAACTTTGCTATGGCAGCTTCAATCTGCTTGTAGGATTTTTCACGTGAAGCTGCAAAATTACAACAAATTCATCAAAGATCAACTATTGAACAAGGTATACTGAAAAAATTAAGATGAAGCATTCTGTATGAAATGATAGAGTCGTTCCTTAACTACTGCTGAAATCAACTGAAATTAAAAAGCTGAAATTTTATGTACATAAGTTTAACAAATGGAAAAATATACGCTGCTGCTTAATCACGAAATTTTATGCACATAAGTATAATATATCCAAAAACAAATCTAACTTCTCAAATCTCAACGAGATGATTAAACAGATTCAATCTAAAGAAGAACAACCGAGACTTACCTTTGTAATCTTCAAGATTGAAAAGAACTGAAAATTCATCATTTTGAGCCTGTGAACAATGGCACACAATTATCAGAATATCATCGTTTTACTTTCACATTTCCTCTACCGTCTATATTTCAATCAAACAGTCTAATAATAACCAATACAAATACAAATGGATGTTTGCCATGGCCTAGCTTATACACTGAAACTTTAACAAGACATTAGTTCATTTAACGCAAGATTAAGACGTGTGAAATATAAAAATAGTAAATCTGCATTTGCTGCTAGAGTATTTTATTTTGGATTGACCAGTGGTAATGAAGTGTGGTCACATCATAAAAAAGGTATTCCCAAGAGTCTAGTCCCATGTTGTTGGGATAACCAATGAATGGAAAAGGAAATCCTCATAAAATGAAAACCAGATCTACTAGATAGCTGGGTCATATTTCTTTTCATATATGCATTAGCCCTACTTACATGTGTGCCTAGAGATAGATACCTGGATTTGCAGCAACAGTTGCTCTTGTGCCTCAATATTTTGACCTATTTCTTCACAAATATGGTCATATTTTGCCAACTCCGTTTTAAAAAGATCCTCATAAGAACCGGTGGATGTCATCAACTTCGGTAATATATCATCCTGAAGATATTTATAAAATCATAAGCATAGATGATTTTTGTGTCAAACATTTCATTTATGACAAATTACATAGGAGGAAAAATATTCTCATCAATTCTTTGCACTTTCAGCATTGCAAAAGAAACCTCAAATTAGACAAAACAGAATTCAAGTCACTATTTTATCTTGCAAAATAAGTGAACATACAAATTCCAAATTGAAAGCTACAAATTCAGTATTTTAGACATTACAAATCAGTATTTTAGACATTACTTGTAATTGATCTTGTATTTAAATGATGGAATGTTGAAAAGAAGAGTGAAGAGGAACTCATTTAATCATCAGATTTAAAATTTTAAAGTTAAAAAAAAAAAAAAAAAACACTCCATATATAAAAAAAATTATATATTAAGAGAAGATAATTTGCACACATAATTTGGAGCCTAAAACTTCAATATCCAGCCTAGAAGGAATTTATGAATGATGAATCCTTTAGGCAAGAGTGAAAATTCAAAATAGAGCCTTTTACATTTGAGATATACCAACATTGATGATGCACGTGCATTTGAGTATCAGTACACATTAATATCTGATACAGTGAGGAAGCAGTGTAAGGAAACAAGGATGTGGAGAGGAATGGGTAGAGAAGATAGGAGAAGGTGATTGCATGGAAAATAAGACTAGAGAAAAATTAATTTGGTTTCATGTGTTAAGTAGCTCAACAATGGAAGCTACCAATTTTTATGAATATTGATGGAGTGATATTGGTGAAATAAAGAAAGAACTGCAGATAATCAAGTATATTTATCATAACAAGTTTAAGAACACAAGGTGAGAATATAAAAGTTTTCCCTATGGATATCGTATAAGTATGCAACAATGGTCAACTTTGAGCCCTCCTATTTCTATTTTGGTTTTACTAAATATGTCCAAGAGAGCATGCCAATGTGCATTCTTGTTCGGGGAGATATTGTACTAGATAGAGGAATTAAAAAAGAGATAAATAGAATGTTAGAGATATAGAAACATGTTACAGAAACACAAGATTCCGACTAGGTGGAAATAAAAAGGAGTAAACGAAATACAGGGGTCAAAGAGATAAATAGAATGTTAGAGATATAGAAACATGTTACAGAAACACAAGATTCCGACTAGGTGGAAATAAAAAGGAGTAAACGAAATACAGGGGTCAACTTTGAGCCTTTCTCATTTTTTTTATGGTTTTAGGTGTGCGTATTAAACATGTCCAAGAGAGAGTATGATAGGACACCATAACCACAACTTCAAGAAGGTTGTGGAAGATGTGGGGATAATAGTTAGTGGGGGTATTCCCTAAATTTTAAGAAGTTCTTTGTTATAAAAGAAAAGGGAGGGAAATGAGTAGGCATTCAAAATGTTAATTAAAAAACAGCCAGGAGAGAATTCTCTCTGGTTTAGGAGCTTTGCTTTGGTTCAGGAGTTACAAGAACTCTGGTTTATTGCTTTCCACCATTATAGAGCTTTAAGCTCAGCCATTTCCATGCAACAATCACACACTTTTCCATAAAATTCTGGGTTATATCATTGGTCCGACATACCTGATCAGACACGGAGAGCCAGTTAATCGGGATCACGAATGTCACCAAAGATGACAGATCGTGTAGACGCGTTAGAGATGGAATGGTGACAACGGAAGATTCGATGCGACAGGCTTTGGAAGAACTGTGTCACAGCATGCAGGTAGAATTTGCAAAATTGCTGAATCGTCCCATACCAGAGGCACAACATTCACCTCAAGGTGATGAAACTGGGTCAGAATTTAAGATGAAACTGTGAAGGTTGAGCTGCCGCCGTTCAACGGCAAGGATCCAGCCAGTAGGGTGGACTACGCGCGCAGAAACATGCTTGAGGGGCAAGATTCCTCTGACGCAGTTTAGGTGAAATCGGTGAAGCTGAGTATGGATGGAACCACGATACACTGGTTGAATCTTCTACTTGAAACAGAAAATGATCTCCCTCAGTTGAAATTGAAGAAGTCCATGATTGAGAGTTACAGAGGAAGAAAAAGCAGTAATCCATTCGAGCAGTTGAAAGATCTATAGCAAGAGGTGGAGGAATATATCGCTGATTTTGAATATGTATCTTCACATGTTTGCGAACTCCCTGAAGAAAAATATCTAGGGTATTTTCTAGGAGGTCTCGACTCTCAAGCCTGAAATTTGCTTGAGGGTGAGAACTGTCGATCCTCAAAATCGAATTCATGCCATGAAACTCCCTAGGGATGTGGAAGTGGAATTTCGAGGTTGGTCGGCACCGAGAGGAGGGAGTCACAGAAATCACAATGGAAAGAGTAAAGGAGGACACTTCTTTTGTTTTGAGTCAGGTGTAAGAGACAATATCGGGTCGGGTTATAACCTAGGCTCATTTCATTGGAGTTTTGGTGGGTCTATAGGGATCGCTCAACTCAAAGGCGGTCAAAATAGTGGAAACCCTAATCAAAGTTCCACCCTAAATTTTGACACGACAAACTCAACAAGAGATGAAGAATGAAGTGGGAGCAGCGATCGCAACAGGGGAGTCAAACATCTCCCATACTCAGAGCTTATGGATCAAAAATCTCACAGCCTCTACTTCAGATGTGGGGAACAGTACCACACCCACTTCACTAGTGTACTGAAAAACAACTCCGCTGTAATTTTGGGTGGATGACAAAACGATCAACAAAGAAGGAGGGGTGATTGCCATGGAAGCGAGCAATGCTGAGGAAGAAGTCTTGCAGTGTACAAGCTTGAGTCTCCAGGAATTGAACCGTGTGGGCCCTCTTCAAAAGGTTAGACCGACTACCTTGAGATTAATTGGAAGCTTGAATGGTGTTTCAAATCGGCTCTTGGTGGATACCAGAGCTAGCCACAGTTTTATATCTCCTCAAATGGTGGGAACTGGGAACTTTGCATCTACCAGTAGATCCAAGGCAAACAACAAGCGTGAAACTGGGGAACGGTGTTCGCCCCACGACAGAGGGTGAATCTAAAGGGCTGGGTTTTTAATTTGGGAATTTTCCATCATGATTGACGCCTATGTCTTAGAGCTAGAGAATATGGATATGATTTTGGGAGTGAATTTGGTTCGACAAGCTAGGCAAAGTGATGTTTGATTGGGAAGGGAGTGTCACTCGTTTTGATTGGAAGGGCGAATCAATGAAGCTACAAGGTCAAAATTACAAGGGCTTGGAAATTCACAAGGAACGGGACTCTGGAGTTACAGCAATGAGCAAATTGCAGCCCAAACAGATTGTAAAAAGAGGGGGAAACAAAGTAACCATAAGCTGGGAACCTGAAGCTTGGTTAGAAGATCAGTTTTTTCATGCTAGCCATGAGGACAAGGCTGTTCCTAAAGAAGGTGGTAATGATAGAACACCGTAGCACAATTCTAGAAGGTTATGAAAGCTGTGGGAATAATAATTTGTTGGGATATTCCCTGAATTTTAGGAAGTTTTATTTTATAAAAGAAAGGGGAGGGAAACGAGTAGGCATTCAAAAAATTTGTTAGACAACAGTGAGGAGAGAATTCTCTGTGATTTAGGAGCTTTGCTCTGGTTTAGGAATTTCAAGAACTCGCTCTTCTTTTTCTGTATTTGCCACCATTGTAGAGCTTTAAGCTCAGCCATTTCCATTCAATAATCATACACTTTGTTACATGAAATTCTGGGTTCTATCAAAGTATCAATGTGCATCGTTTTTCGCGGATATATTTTCCAAGTTGGAGAGTTAAAAGAAGGGATAAATAGAAAGATGGAGATATGGAGATTGGAAAGAAGTTTTGGAAAGACAGATTTCAACTAAGTAAAAATATACAAAATGCAAGTATAATAACAAGAGATACACAAATCCTAGCTTAAAAGTAAAAATGGAGAGCATACAATCATAAGTCTCACGTTTTAAGTTTGTTAAGTCTATCATGCAAAATGGTAAGGAGATAAAAGAAGATGTCAATCATAAAATCCAAGTCTGGTGGTTGAAATGGAGAGCCAAACCTACAATGCTGTATGGGATGTTGGGCATTAAAGAGCAGAGAAGGTAAGCTCAGTGCAGCAGTCTAGTGGAGATGAGATTGTTAATAGGGGTGGTTGATTACACATAATCAGTAAATTGGGATTGCTAATATTGTTTAAAAAAAATAGTAGTATCATTGTAGTTGGTATATGGGCGTGTGTAAATATGACCCATTAAAGCATTAATAAATGGAAAATGCTAACAAGTGACATAAGGGCACAAGTTAAAAAACTATATTTATAAATATTCTCTTAAAAGTTGTGTTTAATGTCTAGAAAGTTTAAAATTTAACTTCTGTGCACAAAAGTCGTCCTCTATTTTCCTTTTTAATTCCTTAACAAGTGGCCTTGTTAGCAAGACAGTTAATAAATAAAGTTTACCAGATGATATCCATATTACTAGTCTATAGGTCAAATTAGAGGTAGGGAGAGCCTAGTGATATTACTTTGGATTCATTTAAAGTCGCCAGAAAACCAGCATTTTGAGCATATATAATGCATGCTGCTGAAAAGGCAGAAGTATTTTCCACCCCCAAGCTATAACTAGACAGAAAAGTCTAGCTTCTGCCCCCAACCCCAAGCTGAAATACTTAAATATGTGAATCATATAAGGCTTACCTTTCTTTTCATCTCTCTAAGCATGTCTTCAAGACCAGCTCTTTGAGCTCCTAGTGTTTCTAGTTGCCTCTGTATCAATGAGCACAAAATTGAAATGAACCATTAAAAGACGAGCTACAAATATTTCAGATGAAATTAAAATGCCTTCTCATATTCTCAGCTCTCATCAATGCTCAATTTAATTTCACAGCTCAAATTTATTTCCATAATATATTGCTCTTTTAGATGAGAGTACAGTAAAGAATAAAAGGAAACCATAGCAAGGGTAAATGGGAGTAAGAATCATTAGAAATGTTATAAGTTTGAAAAGTATAATATAAAAAAGATCACTGAAACAATCAGCCAATATAATACGAGATCTCTCATATATAGACAAGTTCGGATGAAAAATACAAAGAGTGTGGCCAAGGATTCATCCTAAATTTTAGAATTGCAAGCTCAAGTATCTTACTCTTCATAGAAATAAAAACATAAGCTTGCTCAAAAAAATTGCTTATATATCAAGAAAATAGCTATAGAAGCCTGTGCCAAAATTTTAGTTGGTCAATGCAAAACCAACAAAAATCAAGAATGACACATTACAAATGCCCGTGCCAAAACTATGACAATAGTTAACCACAATCACACAACTTAGTTATAAGTAGAACTTCACTATTAGTTCTGACTGGTCCCCCAGATTAATCGATCCTTGGACCAAATACCGAGTTTTCAAAAAAAAACAATAGCAAGACCAGAAACAACTTACCAAGCTTTGTTTAAGAGACCCTACAATAGCATCTTCATTTTGATCAAAAGACATAATTGGCCTTGCTAGGCTTGGAAGTGCAGATTCAATCTAATAAATGGCAAACGAGAATGAATGAGTTAATAACGTTTCTGACCACACCAAGAACCAAATAAATTATAACAATCTATATGAAAACAACTTACGGGGCGGGCATCAAGGATTGCCATGAGTGCTGAGTGTTCTCTAACTGAACGCTCGATCCTAGCATCACTCTCAGAAGCTTGCTTCAAATTACCTGCAAACCTATTCAGTCTATCTAATAAGTTCTTTGTCAAAGTGCTTGACTGAGGCCTAGTCCATTTGGTGCCAAATTGACTTCTAAATTGAGAATCTTCTCTTGCTTCCTTCTGCAACAGCTCCTCAGTTTGAACCAGCAGTTCTTGATTCACCCTCCTTAGGTCTTTAAGCTGCTGCAACTCTGCTTCCAAACCAGCAGGTCCCCCACTGATCTGCACAGCCTCGACATCTTTGAGATTTGTTGGTAGAGTAAAATTTCCTTCCAAAGCAAGAATAGAATCAGGCAATTCCATTTCCTTAAGCCTAACTCGGGTAAGCTCGCTAGCTTGCTGCAACTTCTCAGCCTGTGTTCTTATAATGTGATCAACCATTTCAGTGTACCTTGAGAGAGCCTTGGCACTATTGTCAGGAACAAGACTTGTAAACATTTTCTCTTTACTCGCATCCAGAACCTCACTCATGACCATCGGTTTCACCAAAGCAAATGCCGGAAGAGGTGACAGTGAACTAGGAGAAGGAACTCTCATCAAGTAAACCCTATCATTCTCCTTGACAGCCCTTTCAAGGTTTCTGTTAATATTAGCCTCTAACTTGGTAATTGCATCAAGAAGCTGCGCTGCAGCACCTCTGGAGTTTTTCTTCGCTTCAGCAAGCACACTAACAGCACTCTTCAGCCGCGCTATCTCCTCCGCTATTTCCTCTTTCTCATGCAGCTCTAATCCATACCTATAACAAGCTTCTGCATAGAATATAGCTGCTTTCAACTGTACATGAACTATCCAAGACTTATCAAAATGCTGATTTAAAGGTGCAACATTCAGTGCAGCCAATGCTTCCTCATAATATAGCCCAACCTACATCAATTTAAAACTCATGCACATGTTAGTTCACAGCCACAAAATCAAAAACCCATATCAAAACTAAGTCATGCTTGGATAAACACCTTAGTTGAAAGTTGGTAGCAATAAATGTTAGCATAAACATATCAATAGCAGTATTCATAGTTTGTAATTGAAATTAACTAAAACAGAATAGAATTAGAGGTAAAATACACATACCTGCCTAGAGATCTTCGCACAAACACCAGGGGTGCTTCCTTTTGCAATGGTGTTTTCAAAGACACACTCCTGAGCCTGAGCAAGCATAAGCTTCTCCAACATTCCGGCGCACTCGGCAGACAAGTCAAGCGTGGTGGAACTTCCAACCGAGATTTTCAAAGAGGCATTATCTCTAAGGAATGCAAACGAGCCAGCAGCACCCATAAAGGCATGAGAGGCCTGCCGCCGTCCATCAACAGTGTTTCGATCAAAGGACAAACCAATCTGACTATAAACCGCCCCCAAATTGAACAACACAGAGCCTTTCTCGAGATGAATATTCTGCTGAGAGGCTTTAAGCTTCGATTTGAAAGCATCGAACCAAACGAAGGTGAGCGCGTTAACGTGTTCAGGCTCCGGTGAGATCGGGAACCGGGTTTCGACTTGACAGAGAGCTTTGAAATAGGTTACGAAAAGGTCACGGCGCGCGGGGAGAGACGGATCGGAGTGACGTTCGATGTCGGAACGGAGTTGTTTTAGGGTTTGAAGATCGTCTTCGAGGTTTTGTGCCTCGCGTTCGGAGTAGTGAAAGGCGATGAAGTTGCGAAGTGGACGATAGAGATCTACGGTGTTTGTTTTCTTCTCGAAGATTGCTAGCATGATGTTGGTGTTGCCCGCGGCGGAGGAAGACTGCGACGCCGCCATGATTCGGTGATGAAACTAGATTTGCCGGTGGGAAATAATGACGTCAGCGTGGTATTTTTCTTTTTCTTGTCAAGGGGATCGCGTGTCAATGAGACCAGTGAGAGAAAAACTATGTTTCCTCTCAGAAGGTATAGAGAAATTTCTGTATATCTTGTTCACCTTAGGGTATGTTTGGTTCGGGGTAGATGGAGGGGAGGGGAGGGGAGGGGAGGGGAAATTTTTAATTAAATATGTTTGGTTCAAATTTTAGGAGGGGAGGGGAGGGGAGGGGAGGGGAGCAAAATCCCTCCAAAACACACTTTTTGGTTCCCTCCGAATTGGGGGGATTTGGAGGGGAGGGGAGGGAATATTAATTTTGATATTTAAAAATTATTATATTTACTAAAATATCCTCAGTTTAATTTTATTATTTCAAAACTATTTGTTATCTTTTATGTTACTGTTTTTTCTCGATTGTTTTCATCAATTTATTATAATTGTTCTTCACCTTCAAATTATTTTATAATTTTATAATTAATATAAATCATAATCATTGTCTTTTTTTTATAAAAAAATTATGTTTCGTCATATTCGTTTTTTTCTTTTAATTTTGTTATGTACTCTATCATATTTTCTTTTATATCAAATTGTAAACCATATCATTTTATTTATTTTTGTTTATTCATTTTATTAAATATTTTGAACCATTAATGTTTAATAATAAGTTATTTTATATATTTGTTTTGTTATATGATTCATCACAATTTAAACGATGTTATTGGCATATAGTTTAATTTATGTTGGAAAGTTATAAGTCGAATCGATTGTACTCAATTTTTTAACTTTAGTGACAAATAAATATTTTTTTAATCACTCAATATTCGAAATTTTATTACCAACAAAAATACGCACGAATTTTTCACATTTTAATATCATATGACTTATATAAGATCATAAGGATAAAAATGTAAATTATTAATAAAACTCCTCCCCTCCCCTTCTGAACCAAACACATTTTTAATTAAAATCCCTCCCCTCCCCTCCCCTCCTCTCTTTTGAACCAAACACTTATTTAATTAAAAAATTCCTTCACCTCCCCTCCCCTCCCCTCCCCTTCATTAAAATCCCTCCCCTCCCCTTCCCCTCATTTGAACCAAACAGACCCTTAGCGACTAAGTAATTAAACTGCAGTTTTCGGTCCCCTATTTCTCTAAATCAATATTTCTAAAACCACCAATCATGGACCCTATTAAGACAACCTGTTAATCCGGTTTATATAAATTAATAAAAATATTTATAAATCAAATCTTTTGATATAAATTTTATAATTATAAGATTTTTAAAAAATATATGAAATTATTTATACAAATAAATTGAATACGTAAAATTTCAACTTTCAAAGATGACAATGTCTAAATATTTATGGAAATTAAAATATAACAATCATAAAATAAATTAAACTTTAAACTTAGGATAATAAATTAATAATATAATATATTAGGTTTTAAAATATTTTCTAAAAGTGAGGGAGAGAAAGGTTTTTCTTCCTGAATTTTTTTTATTTTTCACTTAAAATTCAGTATTCACGAGTTAAAAGAATAAATATAAAATGATCAATTTTATAATTTAAAAAATTTATCGACTGATCAATGAATAGGTAGGATTAAGATTATATGATCTTATTGAATCGCTTCACCCTTATGTTTTTAGTCAAATAAATTCGAGCGACCGATCGAGATCAGATTTTAAATCATCGCTTGTCTAAATTAATTTTTCAAGTAAATATTATTTTTTATATAAATTTTTCTATTTCATTATAATTATTATATTTGTAAAAATATTAAATTAAATTTTAAATAAATATAAATAAGTTATAAAGTATATAAATTCATCGACTTAGTTTCAATGTTAATTATCTATATGACATAAACATAAATTAAAATAGTGAATTTTTACATATTTTAAATTTTAAAGATTTTTTATTATTTTTGTTAAATTAGATGAAATGTGTATGGGACGGCATAAGAAAAGTTGTGTTTAAGCGTTTTGTGATAATCAAAGTTGTGTAATGATCAAAATTATGTATTTTAGTGTTATTGGGCCTTTTACTTTTTTTTATCAAATAGTCTAGTGGCTGAAATTCACCTTTTAAGTATGAACAAAGTGGAATGTTCCGGGTTCAAACCTGCGCCCCCTTCATCTGATATCCTTACACAGTTATCAACTGAGTTAACTTAACCAGACTTATTGAGCCTCTTAATTTGGTTGTTGAGATATCGACTCTAATCTAATTAAAAAATTCTAATATGATTGATGAACACCCCTAATTAGTATCTTTTATGGTTGCGAGTTTTATTTTTATTTTCCACTTGAGGCCAGGAGTTCGACTCCTGATTCTACCAATTTTATATTATTTAAAAAATGTTGTTACCAAAAATAAAGCCTGCATCTTATAAAAATTTAAACATAAAATAACCACCACGTTGAGTAACAACTTATGATAATTCTTTAAAATAATTTATATATATTCTTTAGTTTTTGGCACTCGTCAAAATTTTATTCAATCTTCCACTAATTAGAATTCATAGTATTATAATGAATAATAATTAGTTTAAGGGTTAGAATTGAAAATTTGAATACTTCTTACTTCAGAATTAATGAGTTGTTGATAAGATGCATGATGAACCCTAGGTTGGTTAACTTTGATATATGCTAAGGAATGTTGTGACTTATATGTTATGATGTTACGAACATGTATGAACGGCTCATGAGTATTATTAATCAGAAGGATGTGTTTGATGTTAGTTTTAAAGTGTGAAAATATGATTTATTTATTTTTGTTTCCATGGATTTGATTTGATTAAGGGGATTTGAATTGAATCAGGGCCATTTTGGGCCCTTGAATCGAATCATATGGGGTGCATGAATCAACTCGTGTAATCAGGATTACACCCCTTGGCTTTCTTATTCGAATCAAAATATGACATGAATCGTGGCCTCTTAAATTCGCAAAAACCTTATTTTATGCTATAAAGGCTAATGCAATGATATTTGATTTAATTATCACTGAAAATGATTTAGAAACAAGGGTTTAATGGAATTAAAGATTGTTAAGGATGAAAGATGAACCTATGTTTAGAATTGAGACTAGTCATAACTAGTAGATGTTAATACATAAGGCTTGATGGAAAATATTAAGTTGTAATGAACTTTATGGTTGTTATGTTATAACACGATGAATGAGCAATGAGGTTACTTGTGTTTTATCGTGCAACAAGTATGTATATGGCATAATTGTTCAATTAACTTCTTACACTTAAATACATATATACATACTATTATAAGATCACTCATGACTAAGTGAAAATAATAAGATTCATCGTAGCTAAGTGGATTATATGTTTATACAATGTGACATGTAAGTCATGGTAAGTAAGGCATCACTTACGAAGCTAATTTATTTTCAAACTTGTTGGGAATTAAGAGAGTTTTTTTAAAACTTTAGCCTCTTAAAGGAATAGTCTCAACGAACGAATCTGGATTAAACCATTAATCACAAATCAAAAACAAAATAAGGGTTCTGAATTACCTCTTGAAGTATGCTTTAACTTTGATCACGAACGTGGAAAATATCATCGTTTCTACGAAGTCCACGCGAGTACAAAATGGAACGCGGTGTTAGTCGTCTCTTGTTCTGAGAAAATTAACAATTAAGATTGGTAGAGGAAACAACTCATCTATTTATAGAGAGCTATTAAAACCTCAATGCTCTTATTTTGTGTTTTTCCAAAATAAACTCAATCTTGTTTAATTAAACTATTTTAATTAAAGAAAATATTATTATATTTAACTAAATTCTTTTAATTGAATAAAATAAATATCAATTAAATTAAATTATATTTAATTTAATTAATTATTAATTTTTATTTATTTAATTAAATCATATTTAATCAAATAAATTATATTTGCGTTAATTTATTAAATAATACAATTAACATCTTATTAAATTAATCTTATTTAATTTAATCATTCGTTTCATTGTCAGTACTTTGTGTGTGTGGTCATGTAGGTTCCCTTTACATTGGCAATAATATTATATTATGTATTTAATATTATAAACAATGAGCGGTATCTAGCAACGCATCACTGCTACCCAAGTACGACAATGTCATATGATCTGACATAACATTTCTATGATAATGGTCATGTGTACAATTACACTTTTAGTCTTATATCTATCTTGAATATAATGCATAAAATATGTCACCCTTGTACAGTCCAATATTTTATTCCTTATCCCTGAGTATACTTGATAACAACAAATAAGTCTAATATCTCATATTTACTTATTTGAGCACAACCATGCATTTTACAATCATACTCTATCAAGGGTCCACTGATATTACTCCCGTATATGTAGGAGGGGCAAATCTCATATAGGTCACTCATGTCCCTCAACATGATTTATAAAATACCCATGAACCATCTTTATGGTCATCCTGTTATGGATAATGTTTAATTGACAATAAAGTACTCGACTCCACATCTAGGATCCATAGTGGTTTCAAATCGAAAGGTGGTATATATCAATATCACTATGAGAATAACTTATGACACTTACATCATAAACTATGTAGTATTCTCGTGGTGGGTCAATTCAGTATAAATATTACTTCTAATATTTATATATACGTGAATACTTGATATCTCATATTCATGACTTGTTAGATACAGTCGTCAATCTACTCACATAATAGTATCTATGAATTATTGGCGTCCTATTTTACAATAAAGCTTAACTATGAATACTTTAAAAATAATGTTCTTATGTTTAATGAAGTCTCACGATTAAGTCACACTTAATGTATTATTAAACAAACTAATTATTCTAAGGACTCTATTATGTCATATACAAGTAACACAATAAATATAATGCCTAATAAGTATATATAACTGAAAATTCTGGCTAGCACACGATGGATGTTATCACAGAAGTTATAACATCCACTGTGACATTCACT